CTGAAAGTGTAAAACATCACAGATTTTCAAATTTTGTTTGTAGGGTTTTTTTGTCTGGATGAAGAGATGTTGATACAGTACTGTACACCTGGTCTGCCTCTGACTTTCTCTATCGCTCTTTTAATTTTTTGTTAATTACACACTATTTTTATTGACTTTTTAAATACAAGGATATAAAATCCAAAGTAGTAAAGGAAAAAGACAAGCATGCTCATAATGAAATAGATATGGACCAACCAAACAAATTTACAGCAGTAGAAATAAACTTACTGAGCTTCTGTTTCTGAGACTAGATATATAACACAGTAAAAAACATACTTGAATAAGTGGGTATAAATTATATTGAGGTAAACACATAAGAGATGGAACAAGTGATACATCAGCCAATGAATGTTAGGATACAGAAAGTATCTCAGGTTCTGTTCTTGCTATGGTCCACTAAGCTTTGCAGTTCTGTGTATAAACTAGGAACATTTAAACTCCTTTTCAAATACTAATTTACATTACCTTACAGATGATCTATAAGTGTGGCCATGTTTCTCTGAAGCTCTCATGTGTTCACTTAAATAGCAAAGTTGTAGCCACATTTTGAGCATGAAGGTGCAATAAATGTGTACTTCTGCATATGTGCAAGCACAGGCAGGAATATATTTTCATGTAAGTGTGCACATCTGTGTGCATGTATTTTTTCTCTTTTTATCTCCATCTCTTCATTAAATAGTCATTCCACCAATAAAAGAGGAGAGGCTTGGTTTATCCTAATAAGTATAAATAAGTGAGAAATACATATATAATAACTGAGAAAATAGAATAGTTATTCTTTTTCTGGAGCACCTCCCTTATGAGGATAGTCTGAAAGAGTTGGGATTGTTCAGCCTGGAGAAGAGAAGGTTCCAGGGAGACCCTGTAGCAGCCTTCCAGTACTGAAAGGAGGCTACAGGAAAGACAGGGAGGGACTCTTTATTGGGGAATGTAGTGATAGGACAAAGGGTAATGGTTTTAAACTGAAATAGGGAAGATTAAGATTAGATATTGGGAAGGAATTCTTTCCTGTGAGGGTGATGAGACACTGGAACAGGTAGCCCAGAGAAGCTGTGACTGCCCCCTCCCTGGAAGTGTTCAAGACCATTTTGAACGGGGCTTTAAGCAACCTGGTCTAGTGGGAGGTGTCCCTGCCCATGGCAGCAGGGTTGGAAGAAGATGATCTTTAAGGTCCCTTCCAGCCCAAACTATTCTATGAGTCTATGATTCTATCGTGTTTTTGTGGCTTTAAGTGGACAAATAATATCTTATTTGTGCTAATTGTATTGAATGTAAAAACTTCCAGAGCCAATTGCCTCTAAAAGTTTAGATTTCCAGTGAGTTGTGATGCACAGGCCTCACCTGAATAACAAAATAATGTAAATGCCCTAATGAGGACACCATATATTTAATATTAGTAAAGTAAAATGATTTTTGTTCCTGCTTTTAATTTGAGAATTTTTATTGCCTTGGTAAACTACTAGGTAATGTTTCCAACTCTTGTATTTCCAGTGCAAAAATCAATTTGGTCTACCAATATAAATAAAATCAAAATATTTACATGTACCTTTATCACACTCCTATTTCCTAGTTCTGTGTGTATATGTATAATACAGACCCCCATCTAATATTTTTGTCTTACAGATGATTAAAGAGGGGCTGGGCAATATTGACAGTTTCAGAGGAGTCTGACACTACTGAATTATAAATGGATTTAATTATTCTATCACAAAAAGCTTGGAGAGCAAAATAAATACACTTACTGCAGACAGAATCTCTGCAACTCTAATTGCCAGAGCACTGTAAGAGCTTTCAAATAATAAGTCCTTAAATAATAAATTGATATGGGAGAGAATAATGACACCCAGGTGTGAAACCTTAACCTGAGAGTAGTGCTGCATACTCAATGACATAATTGCCTCTATTACCATATTCTAGTCTAGCATGGGGTTTTGAGTCTTAGAAACTGGTTTGAAATGTAAGACAAAACATGTTCAAATCACAGGTGAGATTTGAAGCAGAAACATATAATAAAGTCCAGGTAACTAAATTGATACTTGGGTTTGAAAATAGGCTTAGATATTATGTGAAAAATTATATTTAAATACTATTCACAGTCTGACTTACTCCCACAAAAACAAGGGTTAAGAAAATTCACACTGGGAATGAAAAGAGCCTCTGCTAAAAGGCTCTCAAAAATACAGTAGATTTTTCTTATTTCCCGGTGAAAATCCTTCTTATTCCAAAGTATTTTTTTCCATACAATAGATGAGACTGTGGAAGGTTCCTTTAGTAAAGGAGTTTCTTTCCTGACATCTTTACTGTTCAGAGTCTAATTCTGTTCATCAGTCTAACAAATATGAGCCAATGTAAAACATGAGTACTGCATTTTTGTGTATATTTCATATTTATTTTTGTGTTGTGTTCAGTGTAACAGAACAAAGTAAGGAATACATTCAGTTGAACTCATCACATCTCAACACTGTTGCAGATGTTACCTTGCCAGTTGCCATTCCAAAATATATTTTGCCACTGCAGACCAGAACAAGACTACTGACATGAGGGATACCAGTGCTTTTTAATGTCATCTTCAGGAAAGACTGTCCAGTAGAAGCAGGAACAGGAAAAGATATAATGAGTTATATAACCCCATACCTGCACTGTTTTGGAGGCAATTTCTACCCAAATAAAGTACACTAGTAGTAAGTGGAGCTGATTCTGACTTTTCTGTGGATATTGATCAGCACCAGGTGTTTGTTATAAGTTCCCCAAGTCAGGCCTCTAAAAGAAGTACATGCAAATTTTGGTGAATAAGAAATTGACATTAGCATTGCAGCAGCATTTTGATCTAAGAGCTATGACAGTTTTCACATTCTGCTGGAGGGTCAAAACTACAGAAATAATGCAAATTCCCCCACTCCCCAGAAGACACCTCTTTAGGCTGCTAAAAATATCTGTTGCTGACTACTGAAAACCTGACAGCTACTGTCAGCATTGTATCTGTATTGCAGAAACTTGTATTGATATTAGATACAGTTTGTAGAACAAACAGATGACCCTTTTTCTTCAGAACTGTTAACATAATTATAAATTAAGAGGCAAGGGAGATAATTCTTGGTCAGTTCTACCTAATGCAGCAGACAACTATCAAAATTGATGTGATACTGTACATTTCTCCCCTGTCCCCATAAAGGATTCTCAAAGAGGTTCAGTAATTAGGATCTGGATTCCTGGAGCAAAATTTGTTGTATACCTATCCCCTCACTTGAAGTAAGAGGTCTAAGATGATTCTTTTTGCCCTTATCACTGCTGGATAACTTCTGGTTGCAAATTCTGCTATTGTTACTGTTTGGGAAGAGTCATGTGTTTTAAGATACAGTTATTCTAGAGGAGGAGACAGAGGGTTTAAGAACATCTATGCACATCACTGACTGAACTCTGTGACTTGGAGCTTCTCTCAAAAGGAAGCCATTACTGAGGACACTGAATTAATCTAGTTTTTCACTGGACTCTGAAGGAAATGTCAGCTATATCCTACAGGTGTCCTGCTTTGGTAATCTCTCTGATGTCTCATCTTGCTTGGTAGTGTGTCTCTGAATACCCACTGGTTCCCTATGCTATCTTAATATATTGCTGTCATGCCAAGAGTTCCTGCAGATGAAGGTACTGGTAAAGAAATGATGTTAATCTTGTAAGGATCAGAGATCATGAAGAAATATCCCCACCCAAATATCACTTCTCTATACATGGTATGCCTGGATCATCCAATCAGACCTTTCTATGTGTTAGGTAAGGACTGCTCCTAGAAGGCAGGTAGAGCAGATACAAAGGTGCCATTAAGTCCCTTTTCTGAACTGTTCACCTGGTCTTTGTTCCCTTCTCACTTCATATGAAGTCATGAGCATGGATAACAACTTAAATGCCCAGCATTATAGCCGTTTGAGATTCACATTTAAAAACGAAGTGGGAAGTGATTCTTTATAGTTAAACCTAAGTAAAATGCACTTCCATTAATAGGTACTCTATACAAGTGCCAATTGATATTTATAATGGGTTCATATAAACAGTAGTTTAAGAGGACAGTGCAGTTCTTTATTACAGAAATACTAAGATTTAAGAAACATTTCTTAAAAACCAAGCAGCAATTCTCTTTATATATTGCTGATCATTTAAATTGCACAAACAAAATCTATGCTGGGTACATTTACATAAATAATGATAATAGATAATATACTTGAACACACAGTATTTTAATTATTTAAAGGGATGACAATTTGAAGCTACTTCTTTACAGAAGAGCTGAGCAGCTGAACATTAGCACTGTCTCTGAAACTCCTTAACAACTGCTATGAGGTAACAGCTTAGAATTTTCTATCTTAAAAAGTCCTTTCGTCTCCCCTGTGGCCAGACAGATTTCTCCTGTGGAGAAACTCACTATTCTGATGTAGTTTAATGCTTGTGCTCAAAGGACTAGGCTCTTATTGTAGTTCCTTCTTTAAGAGTTCTCAGAAAAACTGAAGAGAAAGGTAAGCAAGCTAAATTCTACTTGGCTTCAGACTGGTGCTTAGCGTGTGATATAACCTCTCTGTGTCTTGGGTCTTTTTTCTGTAGAGTGATAGCAATAATATCCATTTATGTAAAGAATTTTGAGGCCTGCAGCTGAAAAGCATTTCATAAGTGTCTTCTATATTAATACCATTATCACATATAGTTAAGCCCCACTGAGTTTAGCCATCTTTTATCTTCCATGATTTGAATTTCTTAATCTGTTCAGCTGAGACCTGAATATAAAATTCCAGTCCTGCTCTGAAGATTTTTCTTCTGGTTTCCTGTCATTTATGTGTCTGTCTTCTTTTCTGCTCCCTACTAGACCATCAAAGGTTATTTTCTCTATTATATGAGTATCACTCCACTTCGCCCCTTAATTGGTCCATTGCTTTTTCTCATTTTCATCTTTACCTTCTATTTTCCTTTTTCAGATTCTTGTTATCCTCCTCCTTTGGTTCCCATGGATGAATATGAAGGACAGACCAAGAAAGGACCCTTGGAGTATGAGTACAAGAGTGTTTTATTGTTCATTGTATTGTGGTGCTGAGTTCTCAGCATTAGTTAAGTATGTCTTGGCATTTCAATTTGTAAACTCCACTTCAAGGATTTGATAAATAGCTTGTCTATTTCAATGCAGGCTGAATATGTGATTCAGTTAAAGGATTTCATTATTTAAAGATGAACTTCTGGGTTTGTGCTAGATTTTCAATATAAGAAAAAATTAATTATAAAAGGTGGGTGCTGTGAGAACATATGGAAGCACATTCTGCTCTTGGTTACCCTTTTAATGGGACAGTGGGAGTTCTGTGTATTCAAGAGAGGAATGTAGCCTTCAGGGTCTGATTTTTCCAAATATTAGCAGCTCAGGGCCATGTGCAAAAATGCATGCATAATTACACACTTAATCTGAATGTACATTTACTGTGATTGCAAATGCAAATCAGGTTCTGTGCATGAAAATGGTCATTTGAGTTTCAATACCTGAGCGTCACATGAAGTCACAGTAATTGTACATGCAGCTTAAGCGTGTAATTGGGCATATATTTTTGCAAGTGGCCTTGTGCTTCAGTGCTTTGAAAATGAGAACCTTTGAGCTCATTGTTAATGGGTGTCTCTTGTTATTTTCTTTTTAAAGTGACATTGCCAAAATTAATGTATAATACAATGAGTTGATCTTGCACTCATTATTCTATAATTTGGACTTCATCAGAGATGCTTCCCAATGTCTTTGTTGGGAGGAATAGACTTTTATATCTGGGGCACATCTCTAAACAGAGTAACTGGGAGAAAAACAAAAGGACTACTGTGGTCTTTCTCATTAATGTCAGAATTTTTAGTTTACTGTTCTTCTATAGACTTATAGCTTTATATTACTGAAGGTTTAAAATTAACTGTGTATATATCAGACCCAAAAATAGTTCTTTTATGTACAATATAATAGAGAATGTTCCTTATTTCATGTAACAGTAACCTGATCTGGAGCAAAGGGCTGGAAGTCCATGAAACTAAACCAGATGAGGTTTATTGCTAAGGAAACAAAATAATAGCCAAACAGAATGAAAAAATTATAAACGATGCTCTGATTTCCATTTTCAGGTGTTTTTTTTTTAAATGAACAAGGAAGCAACAGTATAATTTCTACGCACAAGTCTCTGCTTCTTCTCTCTGTTCTGATTATTAATCAATCTTAATCCTACCGAAATAATTGAATTCAAGGTGAATTGGCTGATTCTTACCCATCTTAAAAAGAACTAGAGTAAAACTTGATTATAAAGTAAAATTTATATAAAGTTTTCCTTTTCCTTTTCCTTTTCCTTTTCCTTTTCCTTTTCCTTTTCCTTTTCCTTTTCCTTTTCCTTTTCCTTTTCCTTTTCCTTTTCCTTTTCCTTTTCCTTTTCCTTTTCCTTTTCCTTTTCCTTTTCCTTTTCCTTTTCCTTTTCCTTTTCCTTTTCCTTTTCCTTTTCCTTTTCCTTTTCCTTTTCCTTTTCCTTTTCCTTCCCTTCTCTTTTTTAAGAGTATGATTTTCAAAGAAGACTCAAGAAAGAAAGGATGTTCTTAAAATGAAGATCTAGGCAAGAATCAGATCAGTGTAACTTGGAACCAATAATAAAACTGTTCATAAGCACCTGAAAAATAACCTGGAGATGACTAACAGACCCAGACATTTGATACACTAATCAGGAAAAAACTGAGTTAAATCATTCCTGTAAGATGGTAACAGGACTTATAAATGGGAGAGGTAGTAATAATTTGATACTAAAGTATCCAGTAATAAAGCTAACATTAATTGGATATGGACTCATGTGACCAACTGATAAGCTAATTTTGGAAGTGCGGTTCTGATAATACAGTAAAATGGTGCAAAGATGGAAAATAACTGTTACTAAGAGAGAATTTACCATTGTTCACAGTCAAGATGAAGGATTTTTCTGAGTGTGGCATTGTAGAAAGTGACATTGATGTAGCTGAACATGTTTAAGGAACTAGATCTTTCCAGTCCTGTCTTTTATCCCCAAAATAATAAAGTCAAACCAAAACATTTTACTTCATCAAAATCAAATACAAAACTTGAAATTATTCATTTTGACATATCCCCATATAAAACTTAATTGAAATTGGCACTTTTCACTGGAAAAAAAAAATTAATTTGATGAAACTTCATCTTCTGATGTAAAACTGTTCCATCAAAGGTGTTTTGACTGGTTCTTACTTTCATCAGATAAATCATAAAGCCATGATCACTTGAAATGCTTATAAAATCTTGCTGATAGCCTCTGAAGACAGGCTGAAAAAAATAGCTGTAGAGGTTAATTAGTCTCTCAGGCTAGTGACTACCCCTGCAGCTTGGTCTTCAAGCATGTGAACATGAATTCTGGACTGTGGAATAAAAGTCAAGATGTGGCCCATTATGTGCCCAGACAGAGGTCTTTCATCTTTCAGAGGCTGCTAATCTGTCATCTTTTGCTAGTATCAACTACCTGTGTAATGTACAAAAGGGAAAAAATTATATAGCTTAGGGAAAGAATGAGTTGGAGAAACTGAACTTTGGATCTTCCAGTTAGAACAGGAGGGCTTCTGAAGATAATTGACTTTTGCGGAACTATGTGGAAAAGATGCACAACGGTGTTTTGCCCTGCAGTGGTGCTATCTAAAGACTTTTGATCAGAGTAATCATTGTAGAATGTTCGTACTCTGCTTTGTTGTCTGTCAGTCTGTGCTTGTTGAATGAACATACACTTTGGAGAGGTCTGAAAATATTGTCCTAATAGTTTATAAATGATACTAATCAGAGTACTCATTTACTGTTCAAGGGAAGTTATTTTCTATTATTACTTCTGAGGAGTGTTTATCTTTTAATAGGAGGCCTTTGCTGTATCCTCTGCACTGGGTGCCAAGAAAACCCCCTCTGTTAAGGGATTTAGGTCTTCAGCAAATGTTTGATCTCAGATGTAGGACAAAATGAAGCAGGCTCTGTTCTCTCCTCAACAGTGCATAGGAGGGCTCTTCGTGACTTCAGAGATTCTGCATCTCCCCTTGATTGGCATATATAGATACATCTATGAGTCTATATGTACATATGTGTATATACATATATACACACATGCATGTATACACACACACATAAATCCACTGTGACCTGTGGCAAGAGTACCAGGTATTCCACTGTGTGTTTTGAATTATGAGGTGTAAGCAATAAAGTATCAGGTAATATTGATAAATGATTTTAGGTTTCTTTGTGTAAGAAGGTTGTGTGTAGCTATTGAAACCCTATTAAAGAATACCAAGACCTGGGGTGAGGAGATGAATTTTTAGTGCTGAGGAGGAAGACAAAGGCCAATTAAAATATCTTATTATGGTGGGAAGTAAAGGGAAGGTGGCAGAAGCTATATTTACAGTTGTTAATGTATCAGTTACTAGTTGGAAATAGTTAACTTGGATTAGAAAGAGTTATATCTCCTCACTAGAAGTCTGATCTTGTCTTAAATTATTAAAAGTAATTTGAACGCACTTCATTCCAAAGAGTGATATATGGAACCTGCAAAACTACTGAGCTTCTCTTTACACATAATGAGAAAATAATTAAATAAAACAGCTACTGAGAGCTCTGTGGCAAGGTACTGACCAGGCTGACCTGTGTTATAATGTTGTGAAGATTTGTGGTATGATAAGGTCATACTTTTCTCAACAATTACTAATTTCTTTTGATTTCCAGTGAGATCAATTTCTATATGACTTTATTTTACCTTAGAAGCCCTTTTCAGGAAAAAACCTTTAGTAGATTATGTTCCTTTTTCTCATCTGAACAGGCTGACTTTTGAAAGTCCTGTTTGCCTAATCACTTTGGCATTACATTATTGTGTAAAATACAAGTATTTTCATTGGACTGGTGATTATTGGGGAGGAAGGGAGGTAGTTGGACAAGTTAATATTCATAAAAACTTTCTAAGGCTCTGTCAATGTTCTTGATCCTATGAGATATATACTACAATCTTCATATACCTTAAAGTTGAAAGATGTAGATCAAAGGAAAAGGGAGCTTCAAGAAGAGGTAAGAGGAGTATGAGGACATAAAATTTCTCCAAATGTCCTGTTGGAAGGAGCTGGAATCTTCATGTTCCTGGGCAATCCTTTCACAGCATCCTCAGCATGTCTGATTCACTTCCTCCCACAGTCAGGATTTGATTTCTCATCGATCCCTAAGCCTGTAATATGATATAGCTCCCACCTGAAGACTGTGCTTGAACTACCGGACAGCCACATCTTCTATCCTAATAATATCTTTGACTAGGTCCTAGGAGACAACTTAATCTCAGAGGTGATTTCTTTGACTCCTCTCTTCTGTGCTTTCTTTTGCTTGCATGTATTTTCTCTATTTTTTTCGGTTGTTAATTTTGTTTTCACTATTGAGTGTTCCAGATATATCAGGAAGAAAATTAACATGCACTTAAATACCTTCTAGTAACCTAAAGTGGGCATAAAATGTAAAGACTTTTGGTCAATATCCAGTTGCCATTTTGACTTTTTCATGGTTCTAGGAGGCCACAATAGACTAGGGGAGGGCTATTCCAGATCGGTGTCCTCATATTTTTCCTCCATTCTTAATTTCATATTCTGTCAGGGTCTGGAAAACTATGGTCAAAACCATTGTTTTTTTGATGAAAAATGAAAAATCTAAAGATATAAGTTTTGGCTGTAATTCAAGTATTTTTAGACAGTGTTGTGGTTTAAACCCAACTGGCAACTAAGCACCACAGCCACTTGCTCATGTCTCCCCAATGGGATGGGGAAGAAGATTGGAATGGTAAAAGTGAGAAAACCTGTGGGTTGGGATGACAATTTACTAGGTAAAGCAAAAGCTATGCACGCAAACAAAGAAAAATAAGGAATTTATTCACTACTTCCCATCTGCAGGCAGGTATTCAGCCATCTCCAGGAAAGCTGGGCTTCATCATGTGTAATGTTTACTTGGGAGGACAAAGGCCATAACTCCAAGAATCTTCCCTTAGTTTTTTTCCCCCAGGTTTTATTGCTAAGTGTAATGTCATATGGTAGAG